CCAAATTACAATGAAAATATTTAATAACTAAAAAATATTGTGTGCGAATCATGACAAAAAAAGAATAAAAAATAGAGAAAAATTTAAATCAATGTTTATGAGATAAATCCAACAATGTCGAGTATAATCATTAATAAAAGAAACATAATACCAAAACACCCCTTTTTGTGGCAATAGAGCAAGATACCTATGCATCAGAATGCACAAGATAAACAAATAAGGGCATAAGAAGTAGAACTATTCTTAAAAAGTAAAGCTGTAAATTTACAAAGTTTGTAACAACTACAATGAGAAATATTATGACTATTTAAATCACCTAGTGCACCAATAGACACTAAAAATTTCAAACAAGAACTAGAAATATACCCAAGACGAGAATGCCATAAATAAAACCCAGCGGACTTAGGACTCAAATGAAGCAAAAAGACAAATCAACAAAAAAAAATAGCCACAACTAGAACATGCAATTTTTCTAGTATATATAGTCCTCCAATTCTATGGCATGTTCCAATTAGTTTCTTAAATTGAGAATCTTGCACGATACAACCACTGGAGAAAAAAAGTGAACAATGAGACCAAGATCACATAGTCGACTAACATAAATCAAATATAATTGTGGAATAAAATAAATATTAGGAAGAGATAAAAATAAAGTCATAATAGATACAACGCCTGCCAATGACATTGGAGTGCCATTAGCAGCCATAACAGTTGTAGAGAAAGGAATAGATGAGGTAGAAATGATCAAAGATGGATCATTAATCATGTGATGTGTCGCACCTGAATCAAATACCCAAGTGGAGCGAGATATACCTAAAAGAGTCAATGAAGATAAACCTATTGGAGAAGAAACAAATAAAGCAATCACATATGATGTAAGTTTTGAATTTTCACTTGTCATAATCATACGTATGATGATAACTACTGTCTTTTTAAATTTCAAAATAACTGTTTCATTCCCTCTATCCCAAGGAATATAATTGCCCATTAATTTGAACATGCCACATTGATTGGTTGCACATCCACTTCTAATTAAATGAATTTCACTTGGTAATTATCCTTGACTGACTTGTTCACTGGACATATATCATTAATCACCTATTCATAAAAAAATGTAGAATTTTGTCTAAACAATCTGTTAAAAGTTGATCTTGAAAAGTCTATCTTATAAACACTATTTATAGAATGGATTTTTACTTTGAAAAACTACGTCAAACGCAACAAATATAATCATAGTCCTAATCTCTCTTCCCACCGTTGTCCCCGGTAGCACCAATATCATGTGGTGTCATCTAGGGCTGATAATTGAGTCAAGTTATTCTGGTTCGGCATGGATTCAACTTATTTTCTAAATGATTTGATTTGAATAATTTTTTATACTCGTTTAAAAAAATAAGGACTTGAGTTCACAAAATTTGACTCATTTATATGTAAAATAATTAGGCTCCTCGAACTTAGCTCATTTTTCTATACGAGCTCAACATACTCGATGTGAACTCACAAAGCTCAGCTCAATTATCAGCCATAATGTCACCAACAACTTATAGAATACCAAATGAACTTAGCGACTCTCATTATTTTAATAACTTCCGATAACTACCCTATTTAATAATTGGATTAGTAAAATTTACTAATCAAATAATTTTTATTGATTAATTACAAAAACATGTCAAAATAATGTGATATCACCGTTGAAACCCAACATTAATCCTCCCAATGGCTCACAATACGGTCTCGTATCACCTTTTTTTTGTTGGGAAATTTGGAAGTTGGTACATAAATTTAGATTTAATTGAGCTAATCTATGTTAAGGAAATTTATTTGGTCTCAAGTGAATTTTGTTTGAAAAAAAGACTAAAAGGTCATTCATTACTCTCTCTCTCCCTCTCTCCATCACTCCTCGCTCTCTCTTCCCTATTTTTTCAAGATATCCCTTATTTTTTTCTCTCTCTGCATCGATAATTTATATTCGTTTCAAACATGCAAAGATTTGATTTGATTTTTTCATCTCTCTTATATTTTCTCTCACTTTACTCTTTCTCTCTCTCTTCTTATATCAACGTTACAACAACTCAATTACACCGAATAGTTACATCAATTAGTTACAATTATCTACAATACACCAAACAGTTACTTACGTTTTCTAATAAACCAAACAATTATACCAAATAATTACACAAAATTACAACACCAATCTAATTTATCATTTAGTTGTTTACATAAACCAAAGAATTTCATCATTTAATATCACGATATGGTTACACCAATTACATACACCAAATTGGATTTTTCATTACAGAAAAGAGTTTACCATTACACTAAATTTGGTATTATGGGACAATTGTTTTGTATATTATAGGGTAATTGTAACTGATTGGTGTAATTGATTAGTGTTATTGTGTTGTTTTAACGTTGATATAAAGAGAGAGCAAGAGATGATAAAGAGAGAGAAAATAGAGGGAGAGATAGAGAAAAAATAGAGGGAAAGATGAAAAAATCAAATCAAATTGAGAAATAGGAGGAGAGAGAGTGAAATAATAGAAATTATGAATAATTTAAAGAAGGGTAAGTAAGTGAAAAAATTCAATTTTTGAATTTTGTATCTAATCATAAGATATTTTATTAAAATTAAATATTTATCCATACATTTTATCACATATAAGTCTAAAAAAATGAATTCACACCAAATATATTTTTTTTATCACATTAATTTCCTAATTTCCATGTTTTTTTCTATTACTAGCTGGTGTGCACACGTGCATTGCACGTGAACATTTTGAGTAATAATTTTCAAACACATTTCACATATAAATAAAAGAATAAATTAAAAAAAAATCCACCCACAAACCATACATGTGGAGGCTTTACCTCAATAGGCAAAGGCCACATCCCCAAAACCAACTACAAACAGGAACAATACCACAACATAAGTTGACATAATCAAATGACTAGACTCTTTAGTGTTTTTTTTAGTATTTTTGTAATTTCTAAGATTGTGATTTAGAACTTCAATTATAAGAGAAATTAGACTTCTATTGTAGTCAATCGTACATACAACTCGTTTAACTGTCTTCGATTCATAGCATGCCAGTAAAATGCCTAGGGCTGTTGACTCTATTGGTATTTTGTTTTTCTATTTCTTTGTCTCGAAAATCCATGGGGTGAGCAACATGTACAATCCACTTGCAATGGTTGCAGCAAAACTGTCTAGAATATCGAGATTTGCCATGAAAATTTGAAATTTTCCTGATATGTTCATTAAGTTTTGGGAGAAAGCCAATGTCTTTCTTCCTGTCTGACAATACACAAATTGTTATTAATTTATAATTATAATATTAAGTTTATCAAGATATAGCCACGACACAAGCTAGATTGAAATTCTATTTGTAGGAGAGAAAGTTGAAAAATCTGAAATTCTGCTTTCAGTCTAGTGGAGAATAAAAGGACTCAAGTTTTAGTTGTTTCTCACCACAAAATGCAAAACTCTTTCGTTGCTCCTAAGCAGCTTAAAAGACTGTCAATTTCTCTTTTGCATAGTGAATAACAAAAGAAACAAAGGGATTCTCATGCCTGCCTGTGAAAGTTTGCTGGCAATGTCTCTAAAAAAAAATAGTTGGGTGCACTCAATGCTCAATTCAAAAAAAACAAAAAAAAAAAATAAATTTTAGGTTCCTCTCTTATTCATAAATGAATTATTTATTATTTATTTTTTGTACATTTTAACTCTACTTTTAATTCAAAAATATAATTTATAAAAATATTAATTTTTGAATGTGTCTCTTATTGGTTAACCAAGAAAGTAGAATCATAATTTTTTTTTTCTGCTTAAGTCGAATGTTGAATCTAAATCTTATTGATACCACTATGTCACATTCAAAAATTAAAATTTGTTATGTTAATATTAGATTTAATTCAAATAAACAAAAAATAAAATTGACTGATAATATATGATAAAACACTTCTATATGATTCATTAACCTGGTCAGTGAATACAACTTACAATTTAGTTTTTGTTTAAAACTATAAATCTAATTAAGAACAAAAGAAACCGATTGATAGACAGCGTTAAAAGTAAGGGTGACAATTTTTGACACGACACGATAACTCGATACGAAACATAATACGAATAAATAAGTTTAGGTTAACTAATTTTTTGTGTCAACCCGTGTATGACACGACCCGTCAACACGAAGTGTTAATGAGTCGTATTCGGGTTTAACACGAATTGACTTGTCAACATGAAGTTTTTAATTCGAAGGAGATTGACTTGAGATTTTCGTTGCATGTATAAGTTTTCATGTTTTGATGATTTGTTTTTTCCATTATTTCTAATATTTAATTTGATTGTGCGATGTACTATTAACATATTTAATTAGTATTATAGAAATAAAATATTAATTATTTGTAACTGTTTATCAAGTACTGACATAATTATTGTATAAAAATATATTATTACTCATTATTATTATTATTATTAAATTAATTTTTAGTTTGTAGAAAAAGTATGAGGAGATATTCAATTAAGTGAAAATAAAATTTTAGCATTAAATTGAGTGACTAATATTCTACACGATTAATATTCAACACGACATGACTCGATTGTCATCCTTAATTAAAAGTAAGACACGAGAAGCGGAAGAGGAAGAGGAGGAGGAGGAGGAAGAGAAAACCTGATGGAAGTTGGAATACTATAGAGAAAAAAAGAGCAATAGAGAGAGAGAATCAGCTGAAGAGTCTTTGATAACAAAAGATCAATTGCTTAATAGGGGGACGAGGCGTAACTTGTGTGAAAGACCAAAAGACTTTTGATGCTTGGTCTTCTTGATAGTTATTAATGTTATTTAATAACTAATAGGATAGTGTTGGCGTTAGTTATTTTATCAAGATTACTAAATCAAAAGTTTTTATTTTTGTTGATATTTTATGTTAGTATGAATATGAAGATTGGTAAAACTCACTGAAATTCAAAATCAAGTATCAATCTCTCCCTCCCGTCTCGTATGGCCTTTCATGTTGCTTGCCCAGTTACTTGGTACCTGTCTCTCTCTCTCTATCTAAATGTCGATACATCAGTCTGTGTGACTTTTTTTTCTCACACAGTGGTGTGTGTTCTGCGTGTTTTATCTGCTTGCAGTCGAAGAATCTGCTACTGTTCGCTGGGGTTTCCAAGGAAGACACAGGGCGAGAAGCCGAAGACTGACTTCTTGGAGGTAATATCTAGGGTTGCGGACTTTTTGAAGGACCCGTGGTTTATTAAGGCTAGGGAGCAAAACGACACCGTACAGGTCAAGGTTCCGAAGGTGGTTGTTGTTCCGCCGCCACCGGTTGTGCCGGCTGTGGGGGATGGAGGCGGCGGTGGAGGTGATGGAGAGGAGTTGTTGTCGGCGCAGACTAAGCGGGCCACGATGCAGAGGAAAGCGTCTGCGGCATCAGTGGTGGCCGAGGATTTCGCTCGCCGATTCGAGTCCGGTGACCTTGTGGTGAGGTTTTCTGCTTTTCATTTGTTGTTAATTCTCAACTAAAATCTGAATTTTAAAATATTTCTTATTTTGGGTTGAATTTTGGACTTGATTGTCATGGCATTCCAGAATTTTTTGCGTTTTTGATGTTTTGCTCTGGCATTTAAGTAATGAATGCTTACTTGCTTCTAAACTCTAGCTCTACATGCAGACTGTGGAGTGTATGCGGTGTTTTATTTTTGGGTGCCCACGTTTAACTCCACTCGTATCAGTGTCACTGTAGTGGATGTTTTTAGGGTTGTTTTGGGACTTACAGAGTGATGAATGGGGCGAGTCCGTAATATGGTGGCTTTGGTTTGTCTCATATACCTGTCTCGTTGAATGTATTGCAATTATTGTGTTGAAGCTCCTAAGGGGGGAGATGATTTTTTTGGTTTTGCAGACCAGTATCATTTGGTTTATCATGTCAAACCTGACGGACATAAAATTTTGGGAAAAAAAATTTCAGCCACACACCTTTTACTTTATCATATCTTCAAAGACATTCTCTCTATTTTTTGAATTTTTACCGACACCCTGTCAGATTGNCAGCCACACACCTTTTACTTTATCATATCTTCAAAGACGTTCTCTCTATTTTTTGAATTTTTACTGACACCCTGTCAGATTACAAGGGTTAATTAGAATGCAATTTTACTAAATTCCCCATAATATATTTTAAAAAAAATTTCATCCACACCTCTTCTAGAAATACATATCTTTAATGTGACTCCCTCTATTTTCTGAATTTTTTTACGTATTAAAATTTGAACCGATTAAAATTTGATTTGAGCTAATTAAAATTCATTGTTTACATATTAAAATTCGAGTTGATTAAATATTATATTTTTTTATGTACTAATATTTTTAATCGGCTTGAATCAAATTTTAATCAACTTGAATCGAATTTTAATTGACATGAATTTTAATAAATAAAAAATATAAATTTTAATTGACTTGAATCAAATTTTAATTAGCGATAATAACTTAGGTAGAGCTCAAATCGGCTCGAATTTTAATACATAAAAAATGAATTTAACAGGCTCAATTTTTAATACGTAAAAAAAATAAAATTTAATCAGTTCGAACCGAATTTTAATCGGATCAAATTTTAATATGTAAAAAATTGAATTTTAATTAACTTGAATTTTAATATGTAGAAAAATAAATTTTAATTGACTTAAATTTTAATTGAATTTTATGTAAAAAAATTGTTTATGTTTATGTAATGGTGATTTTGGAATTTTAGACGATTTTTTTTTGTTAGAAATAGTGATTTAAAGATAGGGGGTGTCAGTGATGTTTAAATATAAACTAGAATGACTGTCAATGATGTTTCGGATAATGGGAGTATTCTTGAAGACGTGATAAACTAGAAAGAGTGTGGCTGAAATTTTTCCTAAAATTTTAGTAGTGGAGTACTTTTGAGTTTTGATGTTCTTTAATGTAGGGCGGGTCATGCAATCGTTCATTGGGTTCAAATAGTAAAAACATGGCCTCAAGGCTACCAAAGACTATTGACATAGGCCCAAATACCTGGGTCATTCTCATAGTCTATACCTAATCAATGGGTCAAAATTTTCAAAAAAAAATTTGAATGTTTTTTCAGTTTTTGATACTTATGTTTTGTTAGTTTTAGACAAAACTTTTTGTTTTTAGAAAGTGACTTGGAACTTATAACCATATAATTATGCTAGTATAATCAGTGCTTGAAGTCACTCTGCAATTCTAAAAATTTAGCATTAATCGTTTAATATTTATATTTAAAATAGTAATTTATTTTTATTTTTTAATTATTTAATTTAAAATTAAAGTGAACATAAAAAAAATAAGAGATTGAAGAGACTGGTGTGTTATTTGACATTGGGGAGTATTTTGATTGAGTTGTCTGACATTGGGGGTTGTGTAGAGAAAATATCTTTTTTTAGCAGTAAAAATTTTTTGGGATGAATTTTATACCATTGGATCGAAGTAAATAAAAATTGAATCAATTTAATCGTTGTTGTGTTTTTATAAGTTGATAATTCAACTTTCTAGTTCTAATATTAGATAGACATAAAAAAATTATTGTTTTGGGTTAGAAAATGGACCATAATCTCTGACCAATTTCTGGACCAGAAAAGTGTTGGGGATATTTTTTCAGCTCAGTTCCACCTTGCCCATGACTGCCCCTAGTTCGATGGTCTCTACTCATTGTACTTTTCAGGAATTGAAATCGGCAAAAACGATTAACAATGGTGGAGCACATGGCGGTCTGTATCTTCTGGATGCTAAAACTTCTCTTTAGTCTATATGTCAAACTCTCCAAGCAGATGTTGTTTTGGCCCTTCACCTTTTACATCAGTGACATTGACGTTTGGGACACCCCTCATTCTGTCTTATAGCATCTTTTTCATAATCTAATAAAACAGTGTAGTGGACAATTTTTTGTTTGTGATGCTTGTGAATTTTGTGTCTTAGAGCATCTTATTCCGGTATTAATAGTAGAAACATTGCTCCTTTTGTCATTATGTCATTATTCATTTTGATTTGTGGGATTCTTCTAGTGTTGTGTCTAGTTTTAGTTATGATTGGTTTTTTAATTTTATTTATTATTATTCTCGTCTTACTTGGATTTACCTATTAAGCAGTAAAGTGAAGTTTTCTCGTGCCAAAGTTTGATGCCAATGTCAAAATTATTCGCAATGATAATGAAGTTGAGTATATTGACGAGGAATTTTGTTCTTATCTCAATGAGAATGATATTCTTATTAACTTTGATTCCATATAAGAAAGAAGAGCAAGAAAGGGAAGAACGAAAGAAAGAATATTAGTAAGGGCCACGGCTTAACTAGTTTGTTACAACTTAACCTAAGATATAAAATAGAGCCCCTTATCTATTATGGCAACACAAAATAAAATAAATTATTATACCACCTCTAATACTAATATGCTAAAATACTCTTAACAATTTTGTATCAAATCACTTGTGTGAGTACCCCTTGAACAAAATAGTGTTGCTAAGCAGAAAAATCGTCATATTCTTGAGGTTGCTTATTCAAAGATTTTTACTACGAATATTCTTCAATCTTTTGGAAGGGATGCAGATCTTACTACTGCTTATTTTATTAATCGTCATCTTCGAGGGTCCTTTTGTTCAAGTCACCCATTCAGTACCATTATAAGTCTTTTCCATTCCTTCTCTTTCTTCTCTTCTTCTTAAATTTTCGAGTGTATTTGTTTTGTACATGATTACAGATCCTCCTAGGGAGAGCTTTGCAATGTATCTTTGTTGGTTAATCACCAAAAGGGATATAAATGCTATCATCTAAAGTCTCAAAAAATATTTTGTGAATCTGAGCCCTTTTTCTCTATTACCCAGACATCACTTTAGGGGGAGAATGTCACTATAGAGGAAGAGATGCTTTGTCAGCAGGCTCTTCTTCAATCGCCTGATTAGCTAAATGTGAGGGGAAGCAACAACTTTTGAAGGAAAATTGTGATATTAGTGATTCACATGGCGGCACTCACTTTAACAAGGATAATTTAAAGATTTATTCTCGGTGTCAAAAGGTATAGATTACCCATGTGCCGCCAAATCAGTTGAATTTCCCAGCTCAGTTCCATCCACTGATCTCTCTCTAACTTTGTCTCCATTTTATTGTACTTTTGTCTCTCCTTGTCTTTTACCCCTTAGGGAAAGGAAATACTCTAAATGGAGAGAAGCCATGGCAGAGGAAATGAAAGCTTTGAAAAAAATGACACATGGGAGTTAGTTTTTATTCCTTTTAGATTAAGAGCAGTAGGGTGTAGATGGGTGTTAACCATCAAACAACAAGCTGATGGGATTGTTGAGAGGTACAAAACTAGGCTGGTAGGGATTTACTCAGACATATGGTATTGATTAGTGAGAGAATTTTGCTCTTGTGGCGAAGATGAACTTCATATGTGCTCTTATCTCTTATGCAACTAATTTAGTGTGGAATTTCTAGCAGCTGGACGTTAAAAATACGTTTCTTCATGAAGACTTAGAGGAGGAGTACATGGAGATTTCTCCCAGTTTTTTATCTCAGATAACATAAGGGAATGTGTGTAAGTTAAAAAAGTCTCTTTATTGCTTAAAGCAATCTCCTAGAGCTTGGTTTGATAAGTTTCTTAAAGGCATGTTGAAATTTGGATATAAATAGAGCCATTCTGATCATTGTATGTTTGTCAGATGGGTTGATAATAGGATCACCGTCTTTATTGTATATGTGGATGACTTAGTGATAACTGAGAATGATGAGTATACATTCACCTAATTGAAGGCACAGTTGGTTAAGGAGTTTGAAATCAAAGATTTTGGTCCATTGACGTATTTCCAATCCAAGGGATAGAGGTTGCCAGACCAGATAATTCATCTTCCAAAGAAAGTATGTTCATGTCATGCTTAAAGACACAAGGATGTTGGGATGTAGTAGAAAAATAGAGATACCAGAGGCTAGTGTGGAGATTAATATATCTCTCACATACTCGAGCAGATATTACTAATGCAGTATGTATTATTAGTTAATTTCCTCAGACTTTCCATCTTGAAGCTGTTATCACATTTTGAGGTATCTCAACTTCTCAAGCCAGCTCTAGGGAAAAAGGATCTGGTTCATCATTAATGGCTATTTGAAACTGGGAGCATTTAGTGATGCAGACTGGACAGGTTCAGTGGATGGTAGACGATTTACTGTAGGCTACTTGGCTATTGCACCTTGGGCGGAGGAAATCTTGTTGCGTGGCGAAGTAAGAAACAAGCAGAGATGGCGAAGTTTAGTGCAAAGGCCGAGTACAGAGTAATGACCCATGGAGTGAGTGTATGTGGCTCCAAACATTACTGGGAGAATTGGGAATTTATAATGATGGACCTATAATTGTGACAACAAGGCTGCTATCAGCATTGCTCAAAATTCAGTTCAACATGACAAAACTAAACAAGTTGAAATTGATTAACATTTCATTAAAGAGAAGTTAAATAAGGGCATGATTTGTATGCCTTTTGTGAAATTAGAATACTA